CCCCACCCCACCCAGCCAGGCAAATATTTTCACGATTAACAGTGAGTGCTGGCCAGGGTGTGAGAAGCGGGTGGGGCCCTCAAGTGCTGTCCACAAGTGTGCCCTCCTCTGAAAGGTAACCTGGTAAATGAAACATGCATCCCTTTATTTTCACTCAGAGTTCTCCACGTAGGAATGCGTCCTATAGAAAAACAAGCACGTGTGCAGTCATACACCCAAGAGGTGTCACTGTGTGACTGCAAAGCTGGCCTTATAAATATTATCTAAATTATAAATGTACCCATTTTACTGTCCTAAATGATATTCGGAGATAATATGACCCTCTAAACTCAGAGTATATCAAAATCATACAAAAGATAGCCTGCCTTTACATTAACATAGTGCTCAGTTCTGGCTCAGATCATCAGGAACAGGTTTCCATGAGATGTGCCAAGGTCCTGGGGACACAGGAAAATTCAACGCCTGTAGAGTCCCCCCCATTCCGGCCCCCGCCATGGTTGTGATGGCTGAAACATCCTCCAAAACTTTCAAAACTGTTGCAGACCAGGGCTCTTTCGGAGCTCCTCGGAAAGACAACGAAGCCACATTATAAAAAAGAGACAATTCTGATTCTCAACAGTTTCATGGTACAACTCCATTTTTTGTTTTAAAAATCTCATTTTATTGCTTTTATATAACCCCAGAGTGGAATCCTTCCCTGTCCCCACCATAAAAGCACTCCCGACACCCATACTAGGTGATCCTCTCTCTCTTTTCCTGAAGAACTTGAACCTTTGCCCTGTAGCCCTTACTGGATCAGAGACCACAATTCTCTTCCGGGCCCCAGGCCTGAGCCCAGGGAGGAGGCTGGATGGTGGGCTGGGCAATGCCTGGGCATGGCAGGCCCACCCCGATTCCAGACCTCCTCCCCTCCCCCCAGTATCCCTCAATCATCTGGACCAGTTGTCCAGGAGCCCCACTTCCCACAGACTTGGCCCAAATAGGACAGCATCCCACCCATGCCCTTGCCTGAGCCCCATCGCTGTGATCCTGCTCAGAGACAGGACAGAGGAGCTGAGGCTTCCAGGAGATAAACAGGCAGACACAGACACACAGACACAGACACACACACACACACACACAGCCCAGGCCTCCTCCCAGGGGCTTTCTAACCTTTCCAGAGTCCAAAAGTAAAGCCTGTAATTTTTTTCTTCTAATTTGCAAGCTAATTCACATTTAATAAAAACGCTTGGGAAAAAAGAAAACAAAAAAACAACTAGAAAACAAAGAAAAGGGAAAGCACTTGGAAAATATAGAAGACCAAGAAAATTCAAACCCACCACAGGCCATCTACCGAGAGCAACTATCCTCAGTGGTTCGGACTAACTAGTTCTTTCCAGATCCTTCCCGTAAATAAGACTGGAATGACACTGTCGGTGTAATTTCCAGCCTTGGCACTTTTACTTAGTGATCTTGAGTTTTTCCTGATTCCAAACGCGTGACCTGCTTATATGGTGACACTGCAAGCGCTACAGAATTCGGGTCAGGAAGGGGAAGGCCTTTCGAAGCCCGTTCTCCGCAAAGCACACCGACCGCGGGGTAGACACCTCACTGGAGCCTGCGGGCCTGAGCGCACACGCATCCCGCCCGCATCGGACTTAACGCAGCGCCCAGCGCGCCTTCCCGTGTCACATGGACAAACGGGCTGGGCCGAGCGCATTCCCCTCCATGCTTGTAAGACACATAAGCGTATAAATGTGCCTCGAGGTATTTCTCCCACAGTTCGCGGGCAGTGGGACCCTCTCCAACGCGCTCTAGTACAAGCAGCGCTGAGCTGAACATCTCGTGTGTGAACCCGTGTGGACCTGTGCAGGGTCTCAGCAGGGCAAGCCTCTCAGAAGTGTAATTGCTGGATCACGTTGAAAATTTACTTATTTGGAGTTTTCCCCCAAGAAGATTCTGCTAAGTTATACTCCAAGAGGCAGCAAACAAATTCCTTACCTTTTTATCACAAACATGGCATAATGAGTTTAAAGGCGGTTGGCACAGTAATCCACGGTATGGGTTTGTCATTGTGGACTTGGCCATTCACCTACGAATCGCCATAGTAGACTTTGAGCTTGTCACTGGCTTTTTCCTCTGTCACACATCACCCTGCAGCTGACATGTTTACAATTAAGAGAGATTCTGAATTTCTGCACTTTACAAAAGTGCCAGTCCTCTCGAGACCTCCAGCTTCTGGGAAGGGCAGGGCCGGCCATCTGCCCACCCGCCCAGGAGCCTGCCCTGCTCCGGGTCCCGAGCAGCAGCCGCAGCCCTCCTGAGCATGCCTGCCCAGCCCTGTCCTGTGCCCGAGACGCACAGCTTTCCAACTGCACCTCTCTCAACTGGAGACTCAAATGCTCCCCAAGACACCAAAGACAAGGGCCCCCGCATTCAAAAGTGAGGACCAACAGAATTTACCTCCTGGCTGGAGGCTGTGGCACCAACCAAAAAACAGTCAAGGAGAAAAGAATTTTAGAATTAGAGTGTTATTTTACAGCATCAAACTTACCTTTTTCTCAAAACCCAGAAAAGACGCACGCCACGCCTTGTTGGCAACAGATGGGTTTAATGCAACTGCGTTTTTTAAAAACATAGCATAAAAAGTCCTGCACTCAGACCTGGCTCCCTGGACTCTAGTTCCCACCCACGGCTGACTAGATGTTGGAACATCCACTTTCTTGTGTATAAACACCAATGAAGAATGTTTTGACTACTAGTGGTCAACTTTTTTCCTGCCCCAAACCTGACGCAGCAATATTCCCACCAGAAAGAGTGGCTCGTTGAGGTCACAGAGTAAACAACCCCTGCCTGAGCTGAGAATCACAGGGATACTCTTTTACCCATCAGGTTAGGAAAAACAGGTGTTTAGGACTCTCAGACACTGTGAAGGCAGAAGGAGCAGCACTGCCACCCGGGGTTACGAACCTTCCTCGCTGACATGGGACCCAGCCATTCCGATCACCTACCCAGGTGAGCTGGCTCCAAGATGGTCAGTACTTACAATGCTACATAAGGGTTGAGCACTTCAAACAATCGGCCCATCCACGGGGAGATGATTTCATACACTTGGTGCATAAGAACGTTTCGGTCAATGACAATGGTCCCAGAAGATTCTAACAGAGCTGAAAACTCCTATTGCCTAGTCACGTAGCTGTTGTGACATCACAGTGCTTGACAATGACCATAAGTTACTACATTGCTCCCTTTATGTATTCGCTATACTACACTTTTGCTTTTCAAATCCACGCCAGAGGATAATTTTTCCATTGCTTTTCAGAGAGAGTGGAAGGGAGGGAGAGTGAGAGAGAGAAACATCGATGTGAAAGAGACACATCGATTGGTCGCCTCCCGCATGTGCCCTGAGCAGGGCCGGGATCACACTTGCAACCGGGTATGTGCCCTTGGCTGGAATCGAATCCAGGACCCCCAGTCCTCAGGCCAATGCTCTAACCATTGAGAAAACCGGCTAGGGCACTATACTTCACTTTTTATTGTTATTTTAGAGCGTACTCTTTCTACTTATAAAAGGTACATCTCATGTTTACCGCATTCTGGATTGCATCACTTTCTCTCACGCTTGATTTAATCTCCACTGCTTTACAGGGTCCGTGCAGCCTGAGTGCACAGCGTCACAAAGCACACAGTAGTGGGCAGTGATGTCCTGGCCTTCACACTCACTCACCCTCACCACTGACCCCCAAGAGCAGCTTCCAGGCCTGCAGGCTCCCTCCGGAGAAGTGCCCTAAAGGGTGTACGCAGCACATTACACGCTGCATGGGCTTGCAGCCTAGATGTGGGGCAGGCTGTCCCGGCCAGGTGTGTACAAGTGCACCCCGATGTTCACACACTTATGCAATCACCTAACGAGGCGTTTCTCAAAACGCACCCTGTTGTTAAGCCACACATGACTGCACTTGTACGCAGCCGTTAGAAAGATCGAGGTGCTGACATGGGCAATCTCCAACACATTGTTTAGGGAAAAAAGCAAGTTGCTACATAGTGCAAACAGTAGGACCCCATTTAATGGTGGCGGAGACCCACAAATCGCTACCATAGATTTCTAAGGGTGTGTGTGTGTCTGTAGCTATATACATAAAAGTCTATTTATATATAAATGCATTAAAAGAAAGAGGTCTGAAAAGTGACTTACACCAAACGGACACAACGCTTCTCTCCGGGAAGAGGAGGGGATGCGAGGTTAGTCAAGGAGACTTCGGTTTTCTCCGCAATGTTTGTTTTTTAGATTGAGAATGTCTTAGGTATTGCACGTGTAAATCAAAGTTCATGAAGGCCGCTGGGTGGATGACTCCCAGGCCCTGTC